TGCTCTTTGTTTCAACCTTTTTTCCATTGGGGTTAAGGCGACCGTTGGGCGGCTCTTTTTCTCGGCGCTCCCCGGCAATTTCATTCTGGATAACATGGTAGAGATCTTCTTTTGAGAGTGCTGAGAAAGGCAGAAGGAAATACTATTCGGTTTACTTGAATGGACAAGCTACAGTGCTGTCCGGTTCACAATCAATGGATACTGACAGTACTTGCGGAGCTGTTGGGTTTATGTTGGCATTGTCTCAAGGTACAGATAAAGGCTTTAAAAAAATGGATAACTAATACTCCACGGTATCTAACCTAATACCGTATATCCCGTGTGCATGAAAAGCGATAGTCCATACAGTACTGCTTACACGACATTTAAGGTGTTTAGAATGTTATATCTTTCGCTAATGTTTCCACAAAGATCTTCTCCATCTTTTCCAGCAGGGGTTTGGCGTCTGGTATTCTCGAATTGACACACGCCACATTTGCCCATGTGGATGAGGAATAATGATTCTGCCAGCAGTTGGTAATCCTCCAAAGATTGTCATTACCAGCCCAGTAGCACACGAATCCCTTTTCCGGCAGGAATTGATGCAAGAGTTCGCTTTGGTGAGTGCTGGTAGTGCCAGCTATAAATTAAAAAAGATGGACCAAGATAGTGAGAAAGCGTCAAAGATTACTAGTCAGCACCAGAACACACACTTGAGAGGTGAAGACTTACACTTCCAATCCACCGTGAATTCGAGATACCATACACTGGATAGCCGAGTCATTTGTTTCATTGCTTCGTATCGGTCGGGAGATAGGCCCAAGTACCTCAGGTAATGAATTTGGGATTCTGCTGTCGGTAGCTTGTTAGCAAAAAAGGCGTCATCTATCCTTGGATTGTCCGCGACCGCTTCCAACGCTTCGTCTGAGATTTCCAAGTTTTCTTTGTAGTGATTGATTGCATCCTCACTTTGATTGGGAGGCAACACCAAAACTACTTTGGCCTTATTGGTGGCTCCCTTTGCTTCTACAGAACGCTGGCAGCTAGTTGTACTTTGGAAGCCTGAAAGTTCGACCCACTGTATTTTGTGAGGAACATATTTTGGGTCGTGTGTTCCAATATGAAGAAGATCTATGGGAGTATCGGAATACATGTCAACGTTGGTTACATACCCGA